GGCGGCCCACAGCCACCTGCCAATAAAGTTTTTTTTTAAAATAATTTAAAAAACAATTCTTTTACTTAATTTTATATAAAAATTGATTTAAAATATGTGTGTGTGTGTGTGTGTGTGTGTGTGTGTGTGTGTGTGTGTGTGTGTGTGTGATGTGCACGTTTGGTAAAATGATAAAAGGTTGTTTTTGAAACGATTTTAAAAAACATGTTTTAGTCTCTCTGTTTTCCGGGGCTATTAAGTGGAGCGGATTGGGGGTTTCCTGTTTCGGCCCCGCAGTGTCACCTCCTGTGGGTGCGGCCTGGTTGGGGCGGGTGACCAGGGACCGGTCCTTCCGCCCCCCTGCCGTGGACCATGTGTTGACAATAGGAGGGGGCACGCTGGGACGACGGATCCACCCCTTTTCCAGCAGCAACCCACTAAGACAAGCATAAAAACACTTGTTTTCTAACTAACTCTCAAGTTTAAGTGAATTTACAAAAACAAACACATAGCTGTGTTTTGAGTTGTAATTGGTAAAAAATTAAACAGCATTAGAATGCTAGAGGCAAATACATTTTATTGAAGGCATAGGGTTATGATACTCTTAATTAATGAAACTGTTTTTCATATGGGGAAACGTCCCCTGGGACTAATGTTTAAAATGAATTTTGCTGAACTAGTGTTTTTTATTTGCTTGTTTCTGTTACAAATGACTTTGAGTCGATATAAAAAAGTGGAAATTTGTTCATTTACCTGAAGCAAGAGAAGATTTTCTTTTTGTTTTATTTTAAAATATAAGATACAGTGGGGAAAAATGTAATACAACATTCCAACTTGAAATAGAATGCAAGACTTGTTTGAATGCCATTAAATAATACACAAAACTCTTTCTAACAGACCGAACAAAGAAGTGATTTTTGGTTGTCAAACTGAGGCTGTGTTTTATGAAGATTTTTGTTGAAACAACATTAACAGGCATCTTTTAAAAAGTGTTTAAAATGCCTGACATTATCTGCATGCTGTTGAGTAAATAGAGAAAACTGTATTGGTAATTTCCTTTCTTTTTGTGTGTGTGTTTGGTTTTTATGTAACTGGGGATTTGGTTTCCTGGTGACCCTCTGCTCTTTCCCGTGTCCACTCCAACCCCGACACCTGGGCCAGACCGAAGATGGACAGCGATGCTGAGACCAGAAGATTCTACAAAGGCCAGCGCTCAGAGGATCATCCACAGCCCAGTACCATGAAGGCGAGATAACGTTATCATTTCTGCCTGTTTGCCTACCCCCCCCCCCCCCCCACAACAACAATTTTCAGCCAGCACTATGAAGCAAAGACCTTGGAACCGTGTGACTTCCAGCACTGTAGAGAAGACTGAGAAAGTTGCCATTATGAAACAAAGCTTCAAAGTCTGACAGTCACACAGCCCAGCACCTGCTGCCACTCTATGGGGCTACCATCACCTCATCGTCAGATCAATCAGCCTGACGCTACAACATGAGGCTTCTTTGACAAGCTGTGAGACAAATGATGGCAAAAGATGCATACCTGCAAAGCGACGACGTAAATGACCATCACAAAACTGCTGTGGAATGGACAAGAGAGGAAGGGGGGAGTGACGCTCTCTGAGAAGCTTCACAGCATCATCGCCTCAATCTATGCAAACAAGAACACATCTGTGGATGGCCAGGGCATTTTTGGGTCCAAAGTCGACCAGGAAGAACAAAGTGATGACCACAACCAGGCCGGTTTCTGGGGGTAGAGTGGGCACGGATGGAGTCAGACGGCCAGCTAGCCTGCCCATAGAAAAAGATGAGTAAACACACAAACACACTCTCATATGTTCTGTAAAAGAAACTTTTTCTTTCTTTCATTTTTTATTGTATGAATAGTAACAGATATGAAAAAAGAGAAACAAGACAATAGCTGATCTGAAATATGAATTTTGACAAGTAAATGCTGAACAAAATATCTGGCATTATTTTTAAAGAATGTTTGATAACAAGTGTAGAAGCTTTTTCTATAATCCTTTTTGTTTCTGTTTTTTTATTTCTGTGGGTTTGGACTCTGCTTTTCAGCCTGCGTCTGCCCCTCCCCCAACCTGGCCCGTCCACCAAGTTTGATGAGGAGTGGGGGCCGGGGAACCTGGATCGGTGTGAGGTGTGCGGTGCCGGGTTTCAAAGGGGGGAGGGGAACGGGCCGAGGGACAGACAGTCCAAAATGGCACCACCCTCCCATAAAAGATGGGTAAAACACTGATACATGCTCATACGTTCTTGAAAAATGAAAAAAAGGGAAAAGAGGAGAACTTGTCTGTTATTTGAGCCACATCAAATTCTTTGATTTTTATTGTCTTTGAAAAAAAAAAAGCCTTTTGTTCTCTGTGGCAACATTTTCGGTCATTTTAGGCCTCACATGTGGGAAAGCCTTTAATTTTGAATTTTGGGTTTGAGTTTTTATATTTATTTTCATTTTTCTTTATTTTGGTTTGATTGGCATAATGCTTGTCAGCAACCGTGGCCATAAGGGAGTTTCGTGGTGTTTTGGTTAGCTGGTCCCCTGCATTTTAAAGAGCCCAGTCACTTATTAAAAAAAAGTCCTCAGAGGAAAAAAAAAACATGGTTAAACGTGTTGATAAGGAAGTACTGTTTGCATATTTTTTAATCTAAAACTAAATACGATGACCGTGAGTCTGCAGAAACACCACCGCGTATGCAGTCTCGTGGACCTTTCGTTTAAATACACATTGTGGGGTATTTCAGATATGACCTTTCTTCCCCCCATGTTGTTGAAAAACTTTCTAAAACAAACTCTGGAAAAGTGGGTGGACCTCCACTCCTAAGTGCGTCACATTGCACGCGTTTCATACATCTGTCTCCTCAAACATTTCATATCATCACATCTTTCGCCGCTGCTCAGCTTTTACCTCAGCCATTTCAGGTTTTTTATCTCACGACGAGAACTTATCTGGGTGGATCAGTGGGAGCTGTTTAGCACCCTCCGATCTGGCCCACTCATACTCGCTGGATCTCAACTGAGGCACAGTTAAAGAGTGTGGGGGCCCAGCTTGTGGGTGTTTTGGGGGAGGGGGGGTGCATGTGTGTGCGTGTGTGGGGGTGATGATGACATCGGTTCCTCCTAGGTTTTTTTCCACCACATGTGTAAAGCTGAGGCTGCAATAATTGTTGGTCTTACAGAGACGTGCAGCAGAGCTGATAAAGTTGCTTGCATAAATACAAAAAAGGAAAAACTAAAAACCTGTTTCACAGGCAGTTCCTGGGGGCCACTTGAATGTATTACATTGCTAAATGAATGGTGAATGAACTTTTGCTATAAAGCAGCAGAGGCTATTGCAGTCTGTGTGCTTAAAGAATATGACAGCTGGTGTACCCCTAGCCTTTGTTCAAAGAACAAGGGCATTTTTGTTTATATATATGAGGATGAGATGGAGGAATGATGTGTTTTTGAGTAATATTATTTTAAACTACAATTGTATAATTTATTCATCATCATTTTCACACACAAACTGTCTGAAATAAGTGTTTTTGAAAATTTTTTCTAAATTTTGTTTTTCTCTCTGGGTGTTTGTGTGTGTTTTTCCGCAGGGCGAATGCTGTTCTCACGGGGGGTTCTCCATTTCCACCTGGAACCAGCTGTCTGCCACCTCGTGTTAGCCTTTCCAACGGGCGTTTCCTGGGGGTCCTTTTTTGGGGGGGCCCATCCCTCCCACATCATCGCATTCCACCTTTGAGCAGGCCGTGTTGCGGCTTCTCTCTGTCTGGGCGAGGTTTCTAAAATGCTACACCTCTGGCCCTGTGTTTGGTGTGGTTTCTGATCACACACCCTCTGCCTTAATGAAATAAAGAGAACAGGACTTTGTTTTTTTATACCCAGGCTAAATTAGCTGAGTGAGAGTGCTTTTCACCACACTGTTTGCATTATTTCCACTACCACGAAAAATTCAGTATAAACTGCCCCCATATGAAATACTGGACTAAATTTGTGCTCTTCTGACTGGCTTGTTATTATGCATTTTAAACGTTTCACTGTTTTACCTGAGATGCTACGGAAGCGTATTGCTATCACGCAGGGAAAAAAAATCCGAGCGCTATCACGTTATAACGTGATACGTATCTTGTTAAAACGTGATACGTATCACGTTTTAACGTGATAGTATTAACGCTATCACGTTATAACGTGATACGTATCTTGTTAAAACGTGATACGTATCACGTTAAAACGTGATAGTATCTCGTTAAAACGTGATA